GATCATCCTAGATGACTATTAAAAGGCCACATTTCTCAATAGACCGGTAGTTTCTCTCTTGCTCTTGAAAAATGATTGTGATAAATATTACCAAATTTAACATTTTCCTTTTCATTTCCCACAGTTAGGAAGAGTTATGTGAGCACATGGCTGCACATATGGGCAAGGGGGCTGTATATCAAAGGCACTGTGGGCAATCTGGTGCCTGAAGCTGAGTAGCCACTTTGCTTCCCCGTCTTTTATTCTAGGGAGGGGAATGTAAACTTTAAAAAGCAACCCACCAAACAAGCAAAACAAAACACAGTTGTGTGATATGGCTTCATATGCACATAACAATTTAGACGTTTCTGGAACTTGCCAGCTCTTGAAATTATTTCATGCACAAAATTGCTGCCCTCGTATAAAATATAAGGCAGAGGAAGAAGCAAATAGGCTCTCCTAAAACCATGATTGCCTCAGGACTGTGTGAAACCCGTTTCTTAGCAGAGAAGCAAATGTATGTTTGAAATCAGAGCAAAATCCCAGGAAGAAAAGCAAAACCTGAGCCAGCAGAGCAAGTAGGTCGCTGCAGACCCAGGATTGTGCAGCTCCCACAGTCCTAGGCAAGGGCAGAAAATTGTCTTTCCACTCCTCCAGAGAAAACAAATCTGACCGAGTTTCCTTCGGCATTCTCCTTCTGCCTCCAAAGACAGAGGCTTGTCAACAAGGCTGTGCTTCTGGTGAATAGGGTTCATTAAGCCTGCAGAAAGCCAGAGGGTGTGCATTCATTTGTTTGAATGACTCTCAGAGACTCCTTTATTTGAATGACTTTTTCCTTAGAGAGGCAGAAGGCAAGTGTGTCCTTTGTCACCTCCTCTGATTGCTCTGTCCACTGAACCGATAGCAATAGTTATCAGAAAGTCTCCAGAGATTCGAGGCGTCACAATCCATGACAAAGGACATAAATTGCTCTTTTCACAGATGACATCCTGCTTTATCTCAGTAAAACACAAATCTATGTTCAATGCCTGAAGAAGTCCTGGAGCATTACTCCACTGGAGCAAGGCTTCATGGAAATATGACTAAATCAGCAGTGATCCTTACACAATCATCCAGGGAGATGTTCTTTCATTTTCTTTGCTATTGACCTACAGGGGAGTTTATTGGTACCAGTCCCACCCTACTTAAACAACCTGCCGTGGTCCTTTTTTAGCCCATCCTATCAGGAAGGAAGGACTTCATTTGCTATTGAACATACTGGCACAGGTTTGGCTTGACTGTAACAAAAATGAGTTATGTATGGTCCAAAGTGTAAGTAATACACTTAAAGAGACCAAGTATAAACTTTTTGAGGCACAGTAAAACTGTAAGAAAAATGAAGGCTTTCTCTGGTGGGCACATGTGATTACCAGGCCATGTTACCTGCCCTGTTGGGAAGGACATACAGAACTCCCAGCACCAGCTCCTCTGCACGAGGAGCTGTGGGGCTCTTGACAACTCTTTATTCCTTCACATGTGGTTTGTGACCAAGGTTTATGGACTTCTTGAGGAGACAAGCAGATCTAGAGACCATCCCATCGCTTCTGGGAGAAGGAAAATCACATTGTCTTTGGGCATCCACACTCATCTCCAGGTTGCCACAGATTGCTACAGCAGTGGGACACAATGCTCAAAAGGTGGGAAGGAAAGGATTGCAAAACCGAGCATGGTCTTTGTTCAAAAGCACAATGAAATCAACTTTGGACAGTTCCAAACTTACTTTTATTTGGCTTTCATTCAAACATACTATGAGTTAATTCCTTTCTAGCAAATGCTGCTGAAGAGAAATGGACAGACAGGTGAAGGAGACAGTGCCCTAAGTCACAGGAGCTGCTACGGCTGCAAGGGGTATCTCTGCCCGTATTCACTCAGAAGGAAAAAATAAGGACATGTTCATACCCCAAGTTTCAGAGTGGCAGCTTTTAAGCTGCTGTGATTTTCTGTCACTCCATGAATACCAAAGCACATCAAAATCTACAGCCTAACAGTTTCTCCCCTTTCATTAAGCATCATTAACAGTGTTTCTTGTGACAATAAATAATGAAAAATTGTAAAACAGTTTAAAATATTGATTGGATATTGATGGATATTGATTGGATATTGATATTGATCGGATAGTGATGCTTTTGTTCAGATAGGTCAATGTTACAGGTCAATCTGAGATCCTGAAGCATTTCAAGGCAAAATGACCAGCCTGAGCCAATCAAAAGGTCAAAGTCAGGCCCAGAAACAAACCCTGTCTCCTGACTGCCAAGTCAGTGTTTTATCAATAAAGTGCATTTCTCTTTAGTATATTCATTTATAATGCAGATTAGTGGATGAGAGGAAATTTAATCATTTCGAATGACTAATAACTATGCTAATGTGTTCAGATAAAATAAGCATTCACATATGCTGAAAGCCTTTATAGTGTAATAAACTTCTGTTATCTTTTGAGGCATGCAGTACTTTGATTTTCATATACCAACTCCTTTTTATTTCAAGTGCAATAAAATTTTTTTTTAAAAAAGATTGCAAAGCTCAAGACTCCTCAACCTCATTTCAGTAGTGCTTTTGTGAAGTGCTGACAAACTCCTCAGAATAGTGGGCTCAGGGGGTTGGGGTTTCTTTGGCTGGCTGGGGTTTTTTGCTCTCTGACAAAGTGTGTCAAACTAATTTGAAGACCTGCACTTCAGAGATGGCAAAGAGCTTAGAGGATATTGATTTCAATGAGTGAAACTATGTGTGTACAGAAACACTAATCCCCATGGAAGTTACTTTTATTTTCCTGCATATGACCAAAAATACGCTTTGATCCCCTATCTAAGTTTCTTTTGGTCTTCCTCATAACACAGACATATTTATAAACCATTTTAACAGGTTTTAAATCAGATGTTGTTGCTAATCATGTGCCAGTCTCTGGCACCATGTGTGACACTCACAGCCTTTCCTTTGGCTGCAATTTCTTGGCTACATCCTTCCCACTGCAGCCATAGACCCCAAAGTTATAGCTGCCAAGATGCAGGTCAGGCTGGATGTTTTCAGAAGCAGATCACTTTTGCCTGAAAACATCTCCAAGTGAAGCTGCAGCCAGTACAGGAGGTCAGCCCTGGAGCCCAGCAGGCTGCTCCACCATGGCATGGGCCTGCCAGCCTTGGGGAAAAACATGATGCTGTTCTTTACTCCTGCACTGCACCATGTTATGGCTCTCCTGTATAGAGCACTTCAAAAGCAGAAAAGTAAGTAAGTGAGAAGTCATGGGAGAAAATAATCTCAGAGTGATACAAAAACAAAAAGAAGTGAACACTCACCATGAATTTTAACCTGCACTGAAAATAATTCAAGTCACTTCGGAGAAAATCAACTGTCTTTTAAGAAAAAGAAAATACAGATAATACAGCAATACTATTTGTTTAGTATTCTTCCCTTGAGAAGAATGAAATATCAAGATACCTTGTCTATAAAATGAAATAATTACCTGGCAGAAGGCAATAAATGACCACATATTAAAAACATCATCAAGAACAATAGAAATTCTTGGGGCCTGGTTTTCCCTTACAACAAGACAATAAAGAATAACTAAAATAAAAAATAAAATAAATAAAAAAAAAGCATAAAGCAATGGTTTCTCATTCTGGATAAAAGCACAAGCCTCACCAAAAGCCTTAAAACAAGGAATGTGACCGAAAATAGGAAATGGGGCCTCTCTACCCAGTAGACTTTTGTGAATGAGTGCAGAGAGCTCTATAAAGGGATGGCTGCCAGCATGGGGAAGGCAAATGATGTGGAGGGCATCATCAGGGAAAAATTAGCAGATGAGTCTACTGAAGCTGAGGTAGAAAATAGAAGGGAGGCTGGCTAGGCAAGTGCAGATCTTAGACAGTTTGTCAGGCAAAATTGCCTACCTGTTCCCATCTCCGTGGAGATGCACGGGTTATATTTGGTACTTGAGATTTTGTCATTCGCACTCCAATGAGTATTTGCCTGTGAGAACCTGTATTTATATCACAAGGTTAATTAGTCATGCTGGAAAGCAGTGCTGCAGAATGGACAGGAAGGGACAGTCATGCCCAAGTCTTTCTTTAAATATTCACTGCCGGTGTTTCCTAAGCAAACTCTAAAATTCAGCTCCCAGTGGCTGTATTCTTAATGAAGAAGAGCTATGGAAAACAAAGGGTGATGGGAGAATTTGCGGTGTTTAACATTTCCCTGCAATGATGAAAATAGCCTGGAGGACAAACAGCAGTGGCAGGCAGAGGCAAAGCTGCCGCAGGAGCTGGGTGTGCAGGAGCAGTCCCGGCACGCCACGCTGGGTGCCTCGGGTGGTGAGGAGCTTTACACAGACAACTGGGTTACTTTCCTCATCCTGACACAGGCTGAACCACTGCAGATAACAGTCCTCATCTGCTTTTTTCAGCTCCTCAGTAGAAATGCCATAGTGCAAGGTGTGAGTATTTAGGAGGAATAATTCCTTATCTTTTAATTAAGAGTGTTACAGAGGTGGGTTGTTTTTTTCTTTATCCTTTTGCAAGATAGGTAGAGTAGTAGATTGTTCCAGTCTAACCTTTTATAGGCCAGGCATGTGATATGTGGTAAGAGGCATGAGAGGCATTTAAATTATCTCTTTTGAGACCTTTTCATGCTTATTTTAGTTTCAATAGAATTGGGTCTGTTCCATATGTCCTGATTCACTACAGGATGCTTTTCTTGTTGGAGGAGTGGCTCTGTTTGATCAAGATGGTACTGACCTCATTTGTGAAACCAAGTATCAACTCAGTGTACGGGGAAGTGTCTTCCTAGTGCAGCTTCTAACAATTTTTTTTTTTTTAAAAAGAGCAGCTTAATACACGTTCTATTAAGAGTAAGCCAAGGGGGGAAAAAGAACAAACATTACAGAAAGTGGTATCACAGACATTTAATTTTCGTTTCACCTGATAAAAATTTTAATCAGAAAAAGCTCTCATCTGAAATAAGAGCACTATGGTATTTTTAACAGTCTTAGGCTTCTGTTGATTTGAGATTACAAGATGATGAAATCATAATTGTAAGATTGGATAGCTCTTGTTTTTATTTCTATGAGCGAGAAAAATTGTCTGTTATTATCATTTGCATGTTATTGTGCTCTATTCACAGACAGGGGAGCTGAGGTAGAAGTTTTGCTTTATCACAACTGACCAGACATTATCAAGGTGTATACACTGTGTGAACAAGTCAGCCCTCCTTTATTTTAACAGCTGGCATATTCACAAAGCTATGACCTGAATGATAAAAATGAAAATAAAAAAAAAAAAAGTGAAAGATGTATCCTAGGTGTCCTTAATAAAGAGCTGTAAAAATATTGGCTGACTGCAACCTATGACTATATTTAGATATATGTTTCCCTGAAGAATGCAATCACCAGGCAAAAATATTAACAGTTGGTTTATGGTGTTGATGTTTCCCATTTATTTTCTCATCCATGTGCATATGGAATAGGACAAACAAGCACCTGGGAGAAGAGTTGGGGATAGGCTGAGGAAGGGGCTTTGTGTCCAGGTAGATTCCAGGGTAGTGGCTCAGCAAGAGGGTACGAGACACTCTCCCCACCCAGGGAAATTCTGGGAGAAGAGAGTTACCCCCTGCTGCCCAAGGTTGTCCTGCTCAGGCAGTACAGACACACAGACAGATTAAACTGAATCTTTCCCCTGGCCTTTTTCACCTGGCAAAAATTCCAGCAGCGGCCAACCGGCACTTGCCTGAGAAGGCGCTTCTGAGGGACGCACAGGCCTGTGCCCCATGCCCAGGCCTGCTGGGGGGACAGCACTGTACATCCAGAGCCTGAAAGGAAATGTGTCCCTGGAATAAACACAGCACAGCTTCACCAGCGTGCAGCCATCAGCACAGCATGCCAGGGTGGACACACTGGAGCAGCACAGCAGTGTTGGCAGCCGTGGGCCCGGCGCTCCTGCTGCCGGCCCTGCCAGCACCGGGCCCCGGCGCGGCCCGGCACTCGCGGCCCGGGGGGCACAGCCCTGCAGCAGCCGCCATCCAGAAAAGGTGCCAGGGAACGGCTCTCTGGCACGGATGGTGGGCTCTGCCTAGCCTGCAGCAATGAACAGGGATGGGAGCTGGTAGGAAAAAGGGAGCAGCAGCATTTTTTGGCTCAGCAGCTGGAAACAAAGAGGCCACATGGGCTGTTTCTCAGCTTAAGCATCTTATCTGAACTCTGCTTTAAAACAGGGAAAGTGCAAAACATGCCTAAAATCTGACAAATTATGCAGGAGACTTCCCAGAAGAAGTACCTGGAGGAGACCTTTGGAGACTCATCCACTCATGCTTTGGAAGGCTGTGTGCTCAGTGAGTGGGGCTAGGGTAGATTTCACACGGTGCAGCCCGGCATAGACAGTAAAGATCAAGAGCATTTACATTCTTGTGCAAAGCATCCAGGTTTGACCATTGTTAGAGACAGTGTAATATTCCCTACTACAGTCGGGTCCATGGCACACTCTGCTATGGCAACTTCTGTTGCAGTGAATTTCCAGAAATACAGGAGTTGCATTAATACTGGAGCTGTGGCAGCAATAGACAGGGCAATAGCTCCTCAGAGTTGCTTGTCCCAACTGTTAAAGAGAAGAATTCTTTCTGCCTTATTTTTCTTATTTTGCTGTTTATAGATGTAGGAGATGCACGTGATTAAAGTGTCTAGATGTGGAAATCATATTTTAATCTTGGGGTATGACAGAGACACAGGCAGAATAGATTAGTTTCTGAATTAATGCTTATAACAGTTCTACAAACACTTAGACAAATTCATAGTCAAAAGGATAGTATCAACATTTAATTTAAAAGCCTCTTTAAGGAGTTTCATTGCCATATGTTTAAAATCTAAACTTTAACAGAGACATTATCTAAAATTTTGGCTTACTTCTCAAATGTGTCAATTGATATTTTCCTTAATTTGACCTATTTATCTTAAAACATTTATAATCTGTTAGGGGGATGTTCATAGCTAAATGTCCAATTTGGTTTGTTTGTTTTTTAAATCTGCCATTCTGTTGCCAAGAAATTAAACAAACAGATGCCACTCTTTTTTGAGGGGCTCCATTAAATAAAATGTCTTACCCACCATCTGCTGGATCTGCAGCAGCAATTAACAGCTACACACTATTCCCAGAGCAGAGCTGACAATTGATGGTGCTGGGATCCTGGCATTTTCTCCTTCCAGCTTCTTACCCTCTCTCTTCCAAATACCTATAATACAATATTTTTGCATAGAGGACTGTGTCTGCTCAGAAGAGAAAGGAATGAACTATTCCTTGTTCTTCAAATTGTTGTGGGTGGAAGTCCTCCCCAGGTATTACACTTTTTAAACAAAAAGCATATTCAGCAATAACAACTGAGCCAATAGATTTCAGCAAAGGCTACATGAGCAAAGTTTGTCTGACATCTTTTGGAACAGGTCTCCTCTGCAACAGTGTGCAGCTGCTCTGAGGAGCCAGGGGCCAGGGCTGCACACAGGCTCTTTTCTTCTGCACCACTGGTTCAATCCCACCTGACTGGAAAGCCATTGTAAATTCCTACCTCTGTTTGATATGGAAATACCTGAGGAGGCTCAGCCTAGTGCCATGAATCATGAGCACTGGGTGTGATTCATGTCCATTGTCTGGCAGCCAGGTAACTGGCTTTCTACCAGTAAACCCTCTTGGAGACTGAGTCTTTCATTGGCAAGTGGCACTTTTAGTTACAGGATAACATTGGGTGTTTGGAATCTCTTTACTGACAGGGTTGCCAGCCTTCAGCCTACAATCCAGTCCTTTCTTTTAGCTGAGCAGATTGGTTAGTAGCCAAGTACAGTCAGGGTCATTTAAGTTGGTCATTAGGAAAATTTTCTACACCAGTATGGTTGTCAACCACTGGAACAGCCTACCCAGAGAAAGGTAGTCACCATCCCTGGAAGTATTTAAAAGACCTGTAAATGTGGCACATAGAGACATGGTTTAGTGGTGGACTTGGCTGTTCTGGGATAAGGGTTGGACTTGATGGTAAAGGTCTTTTCCAATCTAAACAATTCTATGATTCTATGATTACTTATCTTGGAACAGAAGAGCTTCCCTGGCTTTTTCTTTGGTGTTTGTGATGATGGCACTGTGGCTTTTCTTGGACTGCTGGGCCTGGATGTTAGTTATGCTCTTCCTGGCTTTGAGGGGATACTCAGGGCACCAGAGAATGCACTAGAATGCATTTTCAAAAGTCTGTATATTCGAGGCTCCAGGTTTTTAATTGATGCAGAAAGTCCATACGCAAATAGACTAGCCTGCCTACTCCCTTAGCTCCTGGCACACATTCTCGTGACTCTCCAGGGTCAAGGTGAGCTTCCTCCAAAGGATATATTTCTACAGTATTACCTGAGAGAAATTCTTGATGCTGCAACACTGTATAGCTTTATTTTCAACAAGTTATTTGCATTGCTGTAATGGCAGAAGGATTTCTATTCCTCTGTCAGGCTTGTAGCTGTCCTCAGCACAACTGGTTTCTTCAATGAGGCATGAAGAAAATAAAGGGACATCAGGGTTTAACATTTCAGATGCTCAGCTTTGCCACAGTGTCAGGATAGACAGATGTACATAATTCTGGAAATTAAAATTTCCATCCTGATAATTAATCTGTATAGCAATTATCATTATTGCCCTGTATGGTGACTGTCTGTAAAGGCAATCTTCACTTAGAAAAGGCATCTCATAAATCAGGTGAGATTTAACATCTTCCAAGAGTTTGTAAATCTGCCCAGGATTTAGGGATTAATTGAAGAGCAGACAGCTTAATACATTAACCTTTCACCTCTGCAGTCCTGGGCTCAAAAGCTGACTTAAGTCAAGAAGTAGAAAAATAGATTGGTGATTTTGTCCTAGTCCTTATGAGTGCTGGAGTTCAGGACAGCCTGGTTAGCTCTGCCTTTAGTGCCCTGTTCTGTTAGCAAGGTTTGCTTTGGGCATTGCACATGTCTTGTCTGCTGCTGGCTCTCCATTATGAGGTTATTAACTTAAGTGTAAAGTCAGGTGCCCGAGGAGAACAGTTAGTAGGCTATGGTGGCTGTAAAAAAGGTCAGGAAGCATCAAGGACAGCCCTAAGTAGTTTGTTTCCTAAAACTTCTAGGTCATTGAAGGGATTGCAGGGTTGCTACAACAGGAGAGGACAGAGGAAACATTTCCGTCAGCCCTTCTGCAGCCCTGCCCCACCGGGTGAACATTCACGCTCATTGTCATTCACCACGCTCTCACCCCAGTGCTGCCTGTGCCTGTGCCCTTCTCACGGGGCTTGCCAAAGAAGCAATTTTACAGGAATGCAGTAAGAGAAGCTAGGGTCAGCAGGCCGCCTTTAATTTCTTTGTCTCTGTCTGAACACAATACAATCAGCAGCATGCAGCAACATGGACCATCCTTCTCCCAGTTTCCTTTTTCTTTTGGAAGATGGGGACACTGCAGAGATCCTGATTGTACCCTCAGCTATGTGACAACAGAGAGTTCTGTCACTTGGCAGTGACCCTCAGCAGCCCGTCCTTGCTGACTGGGAGCCAAAGTCTGCTTTACAAGGATGGTCCAATGCTGAAGGTGAAAGTGTAGCCAGCATTCATAAAGTGGTGGAGTAACGCATTCATGCATGGCTGGTGGTGGCTGACCCTTGCCCATGGCCCTAGCTTGTCAGTCATCCATTCCCTGTGGCTTAGCACTGACCACTGGTGGCAGATCACAGTGTGATCTGCACCTGTGCCAAGTATGGGGAGAGGGATTTAGCAATGCAAGTGTCAGCAGCCTGCATCTCTCTGGGGAGGTAACACACTCTGAGTCCCTATTAAATAGCGCAGGGGTGGGAAGTCACTTGGTGTTGACTTCCATCCCTCTGTCAGTGCACAAGCATACCCTCAGATATGCGCTCCTCACAACCCTCAGACCACCCTTGACAAATATCCATGCAAAAATAAAAATTGCCCCTGACCCCTCTGTTTGACTTCTGACCTCTCCCTTTATACACAAATACCCTGCCTGCTTGGTATTTGCCAGCTGACTAATGAGATTGGGTCTGATCTCTGCTCTGAGAGAACATTTGAAAATAATGTGGTATTCTGGAGCACAGAAACACACATGCATAATCTACATTTCCAATGTGGGGGTGAGTTTTTTGGTCTGCTTGGAACAAATGTCATCCTGGGGGTTTTTAACCTTACAAAACTGCATTTGTTACTAATGCAGGAGAGAGATGAGATGAGCTAAAAAACACACTGTGAAATCCAGTGATAGAAACTTTAATCATTTATTTTCTTGCCTGGGATCTTTTCACTTGTTCCAGCTGGTTCAGAAACACTTGGAACGTATCAACAAGGCTTACATGACTGAAAACAAACCTTTGCCAGCAGCAGAACCAGACTGACAGAAACAGGACAATAGCTTTTTCATGCCACAAAATTGTTACTAAGCAGCATATAGTTTCATGTGTGTTTGCACTTTGCCCCTCCTGACTGAACTATGAAATATTATTTACTAAAAACATTATAGTTCACTTTTTAAGAGAATTAATATAATTAAAGGGTTGGTTGAGAAACGATGATTGAAGTTCCAGCTATTAAAATGCACATCAGTGTACAGGGAAAATAAAAAGGCACTGAAATTATTTTCAAACCCAAGCACCAGGTGCATTAATTACATTTCATTTCATGTTGGTTTATTACTGCGGTCACTTGTGCCTTATGATCTGCATTAACACCTGCGTTCTATGGATATCTTGGTATTTCACTAAACAAGATGAATATTGGCCAGATGGTGACTCCAGTAGGAAGCATTTCACATAGATTTTCCTGCTCTGCACAGTTGCCTGTAAAGGAATCCTGAATGTCATGCTACACCAAAGCAGACCCAAACAATACAGAGATTATTTTGAAATCAACTACCTTGACAGAATATTCAGAAAGGATCAGATGACAGACAAATCAAGGCCTTGTAACATGGATCTTCCTAATAAAGCTCTTGTGTGCAGCACAACGGCATCGTTTGTACCAGCATTTCACCCCATGGGGTGACCCTGCCCTGTGTAGAAACATAATTCCACAGAAAACTGGGTCAGCTCAGGTCTGAAACACTTAGCACAGGTGACTCAGTGGTTTTTTTTGGTGTTCTGTTTTTTCTCCATAGTACAGGTTAGTTAATGTACAACAGGCATCCAGCCCCCTGGGAGGTGCCACGACGAGGAGTCAGGACAAGAACCCCACCACACCTGGCACCTTGGCTTTTGACCAAGGTGGGAAGCACTTCAGGAGAGGTGGGAGGGACACAGACCTCACTGTTCCTCTTACTGGCAGTGTCTGGCTCTTGTCCAACACATCAGAAGTCCTTGCTGACCTGCACCAGAAATAAACAGATTTTCATCCTGGCATGGTATTACACTGTTGAAAACTCGGACAAACCTTCTAAACTTGCAATTAGCACCTACCTCAAACCCACCTCACCTAGAACACACAGCATCATTCCAGGGCACTATCCAGTGCTGTCTGTTTGTCTGTCCAGTGCTTTGCTGCTGCTGCAGGATGTGTAGAAGGTTTTGTCTGTGTAAGCAAATTTTTTTTATTGTGGACATCCATATTCATGGCTTCTTTTTGTTGTCCTTCACTTGCCAATGTCAGTCAAGGACTATGTGAGTGTAGCAACCAAAGTGTGAATACAAATTGTCACACAATCAGAAGCATTGAGTTTTCATATTCTTCGTGGTTGTGTAGTACAATTTTCTTCCACCTGCGTATGCTAGGAGGAGCTCAGGGGGTGCAGCCTGTTCTTGCCAGATCCCTCCTCTGCCCACTCTGCCAGGATCAAGCTGTGCTGCCAGCCAGTGCCAGAAGCCTTTCCTCTTCTGGGGGCTGGTAGACACCTTTTCCTACCTTACAGCAGGTAAAGTTTGGATGATCTGAGAGTGCTCTTTGCAGAGTGTGGTCCCTGGGCTGTTTCTGCTCTAGGAGAGGCTAGGCAGACACAAAAGGACCAAGGGGAGAAAATGCAGCAGAACAGCTGGCAGACTGGGGCACAGAGAGGGCACATAGTCTTGAGAATTGGGGCTTGCCCTGCTAGTAGAACATAGCAACACCCAAAGTTGGCTGTCTGAGTACTGTCCTCAATGAAGTAGATAGAGGCACAAAAAAGCGTTCCAAAATGAACCAGGTCAACACTCTGATGTGTACAAAGGAAGGCAGAAAGTGAAGCACAGGGCTAACCAGCCACTGAGCTCAGCACTCTGCTCAGCACGGGTGCAGAGCACCCACCAATCCAGATGAGAGCTGAGCCCAACCAGCCCCATAGCAGCTGCGGGTGGCCAGCTCATCACCCTGCTGGGATGACCTTAGAGCTGGCAGGTGCTTTCCCCTCTGACAGGTGAGTTCCTCGGGTTGATGACCCTGTTGTTCCTCACAGAGGCACACAGCACCAGATCCAATCTACAAAAACAAGAGGCCAAAAAAGCATGAATTAACACTCCCACCTTTCCCCCAGGCATGCTTCCCCCAAGATGCTGTTTAAAGAAGACCAATATCTCACTCTCAAGAAGTGTAGGCAAATCCTATTACAAGTTGAGATTAACCATCAGTCAGATAACTCACCAGTGCAGAGATCAAATATAAAAGATGTATGTTCTGTGTCATCTGTTTAGCATTCTTAAATTAGCTCACACGGGTGGATGGTGCTGGCCAAATGGCAGAACATGTGCTGCAAATGGAAATCAGAGTCAAAGCAGAATCCTGTGGGATACCCCCAGCAATATTAAAGCAGCTATCTTATTACCTAAGCAATTTTCAGGGACAAGCAGAATTCAGACGCAGCCGACAACGCTCTCTGGTCCAACCCTGGTGAAACTACTTCATTATTATTTCAGTAGTGCCTGGAGAGCTCTATCTGCTGCTCCAGTTTCTCTGCAAAACCCCTTCCAACAACCCACAATAAAAGACATCCCTGCGAGGACAGGCTTACAGTTTAATTTAAGACAAGGAACAGCAAGTGAAAGTAACAAACAGCCAGAGAGACTAAAAGGGAGAGGATGATGGAAATGGTGGAAAGCACTTGTCCCTGGAGTCCCTGTATGTGTACACACAGATACTAGATACAGATTAATGTGTGCACAGATATTTCAGAAGCCCCTTAACCTGAATATAAGCCATCCAGAAATAATTTATAAAAGAAATCCACACATAAGGTGGAGTGCTAGAGGATGGAAGAGACCTGCCTTGCTCATTGCTGAGGATGCAATGTATGCAGGTGGGTTTGACTTGGCTTTTTTCATACCACAAACAGCTTTGGAGTCCATAGGCAGCAGTCACATACCTGGCTGGACACAATGATCTTAAAGGTGTTGTCTAATCTAAACCATTTTATGACTGTATGATTGAAATCTCTTGTTTCACACTGTATGTAGTACATACATTTGACCTCACAGCCTTGGCCTGGGAAGCAGGAAAAGTAAGAGGACTGTGCAAAGTGGCCTTGATATAAAGTATAGAGGGGTTGTCTTGCAGCCATGTGCTCTTTGCTGCCTGGAACATGACTACAATTGAGCTGGGAAGCAAATAAATTCAGCAGAATTAATCTCAAAGGGATCTGTTTGTTTGTGTGTTGTTTAAATATTTCACATTTCTTTTAAGTCTTACTGAACAACTATTGCATGGCATTACTTCTTGTAGAGCCCCCAGCCACTTCCCAGCTCCAGCAAGCCCTTATCATGTGTGTGAGTGAGGAGGTTCAACCTGGCAAATCCTCAGGGAAATCAGCGTGTCTTGAACTTCTCCTGGAGGCTGTAGGTTTAAGCCAGTTTTTCCATTTTCCTACAGGGAACTAGGTGTACTTAGTCCATCTTTCATCTTTCTACCACCTAGCATCACATTACAGTAGGAAATAATTTTTCAGATACACATAATGCAAGAAGAATTCTCTAAAAGTAAAAAACAATTTGCAGAGATACTGATGACAGCAGGATGCTTTGAACATTTCCAGGTTTTTGTTTGCCAGGGCTCAGGGATTATCAGAGGAGGCCATTGAAGTGCAAACAGTTGTGAACATGACTGTTGTAATCAAAACCCCTCTACTTGTTTGGAAGTGCCATCTTAAGAAGCAAAAAAAAATATTTTTGAAGAGGTCACTTCCAGAAAGATTTATAGATATTCCTCTGTGT